TTAGGCTGTGGACGAAAGTCACTTCCAGGCAACTTGTTTATTAAGCCTTCATCCTGTTCTGTTTGCACAATGTTTGCGGGAGAGGTTAGCAGCTACTTATTGAGGATTAATTCAGATTTGTTGGCAGCAGAGATTGGGAACTTTTTTCAGCACAAGGAAGTCCACCCAAGATTTAAACCAGCAGGGAAGGGCAAAGTCAGATTATGAATGGGAAAACAGGAGTCTGCTTTTGAGTGAATGCAAGGAAGGAACTCTAGAATAAAACTCCAGATCTGTTGAGCTTAGTCTGAATCTTCATTCGTATTTCTAAAAGTCAGAACAAAACTGAAGGGAAAACAAACAGAAGAACAGAAAAGAGGTGTAGGTCAGTGGAAAGCACTGGTTCTCGATGCAGAAGGGCCCAAGGCATCTCCAGGTAGGGAAATACTGTGTCTGAAATCCTAGTAATCTTCTGCCAGTCACCATGGACAGTGCTGAGCTACCTGTAGATGGTCCTATGGTCTGACTTGGTGTAAGGCAGCTCCCCATGTTCCTAATGCAGTTGTGAGACTGCATCAACTCCTAAACTGTTTTCCAGCACCGCAGGCAAATGAATCTAACTCTAGGCTGGAGGTTCCTGAGAAGAGAGCAGAAATCCTCTACGCCGCTCAAGTGCAAAGCCTGATTCCCTTGGTAACAGTTCAGCAGTTTCCAAAGGAACCGGCCAGACCGTGATTAATCTTGGGAGACGTTCTGTTTGCATAAGCTTACTTTCACTTTTCTCTTCCTGTTAGAAGAGTAGAAATATGTGAGTGGAAGCTGGAGCTATTATCTCCAGTGACCTTCAGAAAATTTCCTGGAGGTGAAACACAGATTATCAAATGAAGCATTCAGCATTTCCTATCAAGGGGAGATCAGACTTGGGAGTGGGGTGTGTGAGAGATATTATGGTCTGGAGGGCTTCAAATCCTCCCCCTTACATAGCTTTACATGTAGAAATGAACAATATTCAGTGGCGTAAGGAGCATAAAAAAGTATTGTAGAAACTCTAGATGGGAACCTTATTTCAGCCCAAAATCTGCATTCCCTGCAGGACAACCTTCCAGGAGCCAAATGCTGTTGGGTGAAACCAGAGACAAGCATGGGTGGAACAACGAATGTAATTTTTACCTTTCGAAATTAGGCTATTTTCTGCACCCACTCCACTTTATCCTTGAGGTGAACAAAAAGCATTGTCAATGGCACACTAAATGGCCAGGCCAAAATACCCAAGGAGGGTTTGATTTCTTTTACAAAATTTATGTACCACTTGATGGTAGTAAAACCTCTGAGCAGTTTGCAAGAAATATTGAAAATCACCAATAAATAAACTGTTTTAAACATTTTAAATTAAGCATAATTACAATGAACGATAAAGGCCATTCAAACACATCGACTTATATGTGCCTGAATAGGTTTTCCTAACTTAAAATGTTTCAAGCAGGTGCAAAAAAAAGTACCCTGAAGGCTCTTGATATCAATGGGCAGGGAGTTCCAAAGTGTAGGCACCACTGCACTAAAAGATCAATTCCTTACAACTGTGGAACGGGTATAATGCGGCACCTGGAACAGGGCAGTTATTTAGGGTTGCCGTATTTCAAAAAGTGAAAATCAGATTTTGGCAAAGTTGCTGAGCTTTGTAATCCCAAATAAATTGGACGCTTGTGAGCTATTGTAGAGGGAAATTGGCAAAATGACACAGCCAACATCTGTTGCCATCCCTGAATGTTGTTGTTTAGTCGTTTAGTCGTGTCCGACTCTTCGTGACCCCCTGGACAAGAGCATGCCAGGCACTTCTGTCTTCCACTGCCTCCCGCAGTTTGGTCAAACTCATGCTGCTAGCTTCGAGAACACTGTCCAACCATCTCGTCCTCTGTCGTCCCCTTCTCCTTGTGCCCTCCATCTTTCCCAACATCAGGGTCTTTTCCAGGGAGTCTTCTCTTCTCATGAGGTGGCCAAAGTATTGGAGCCTCAGCTTCAGGATCTGTCCTTCCAGTGAGCACTCAGGGCTAATTTCCTTAAGAATGGATAGGTTTGATCTTCTTGCAGTCCATGGGACTCTCAAGAGTCTCCTCCAGCACCATAATTCAAAAGCATCAATTCTTCGGCGATCAGCCTTCTTTATGGTCCAGCTCTCACTTCCCTGATTACAGGATGTGAAACGTAGCTGGGAATGCATGTTGCCTCAGGAGAGGGACACTTAGTTTAAAGGGGCAGAAAAAGAGACTTAGCCCTGATGTTCCTAACCTTTGCTCTGGGTCTTCTAGTGGCAGCACACCACCTCCTTTAACCACGCCTATTCAGCACCACTTACTCTCGCTGTGGCAATGCCCCCACTCTGTCTCTAGACTTAGATAAACATGCCCACACTAGAGTTGTCATATTTCAAAGGTGTTGAGCTTTTTTGGGTTGATTTTAAGCTTTTGGAGCTGTTTCTGCTGCTTTTTCCATCACATTGACATACAGCAAAATTTCCCCAACGCCATTTTTACATACGAAAACCAGGACATGTTAGGAATTTTCTGAAGTATGGCAAGACAAGGTCAGACAGTTATTGACGTTCACATGTATTGCCCTGTCACACAAAGGTAAATACAAAACACAAAATTATTTTAATATATACTCTACTTGATCCAAAAAAATTGGTTACTCCCAAAAGCTCTTCAGAATTCAGCAGCTTATCAAAAATAAAAAAGCACATTATATTTTGAATGGAGCAGAGACAGGCAAGAAAAAATGAGACGTTGCAGAAGGATATGACTGAAGGGAGTATTCTGACATGTATAGAAAACTCATCCAATTTAAGCTTTGAAGCAAAATGCATGTAACCCAAGTTGGGTTTGAACTGTTGGCTCAGTGCAGAGGTCCAGAAGCCATTTAACTCTCCCTCGTTCCCAACTGTTTTCATTCAAGGTGGTCATTATATGTAGAACTATGGAACTTGCAGAATTGCTACCCGAGTTTTTGTGTTTTCATCTTCATGTTTTCGGCCTGTGCGGATCAAGGATCGAGTGTGTGTGTAGAAACAGCCTACTGTACAAAGGTTAAATTGACATTTGTTGCTCCACTGACTTTGCCTCTAGCCATGTCCACCACAGGCATGTGGCCTTTCAGAAGGTTGCCTAGGGAATGCAGCCCTCAGACTGAAAAAATATTCCCCACCTTTGTCTTGGGACTGTATCCCTGCAGGCAGGGTCAGCCTTGCGCAGCCCTAAGTAAATTTTTAGGCACTTCAGAAATGGCGAAACACAAGGAGAAAAGCACAATTGAGCATGTACAGAGTGCCTTTCCCTCAACACCAAGCACCCACCACCTGTCCCAACAGCTCTAGAATTCGGGAGCAAGGCTTCCTCCCTGAGCATGTCTAGTGTAGACACTATAGACAGTCTGCCTGAATAGCAGAGTTAGTTAGAGTAGTGTTGATAACACCAAGGTTGCAAGTTCGAACCCTGTATGGGACAGCCGCATATTCCTGCATTGCAGGGGGTTGGGCTCAGCCCAGTATACCTGAAAAAGCATCTCCACCCCCAGACACTGAGGTCCAGCTCCAAGGGCCTTCTGGCAGCTCCTTCCCTGCGAGAAGTGAGGTTACAGGGAACCAGGCAGAGGGCCTTCTTGGTAGTAGCGCCCGCCCTGTGGAACGCCCTCCCATCAGAGGTCAAGGAAATAAAGAACTATCTGACTTTTAGAAGACATCTGAAGGCAGCCTTGTTTAGCGAAGTTTTTAATGTTTGATGGTTTATTGTGCTTTTAATTCTGTTGGGAGCCGCCCAGAGTGGCTGGCAAAACCCAGCCAGATGGGTGGGGGTATAATAATAATAATTATCCTCAGGTTCTCTTCCAATGTTACAATTCTAGGATTCTAAATAGGAAACACTTTCTATAATAATAATAGTAGTAGTAGTAGTAGTAGTAATAATAGTAATAATAATAATTTTTATTTATACCCCGCCCTCCCCAGCCAAGACCGGGCTCAGGGCGGCTAACACCAGGTAGAAAAACAATTGATTGAAATACAACTTAAAAACAAGATTAAAATACAACATTAAAATGCAGCCTCATTTCAGTAGGAACTCAAATCAAAAACTTTTGAGGGGATAAAAACGTCAAGTCTTCACCAAGGTCAGCTATCCCGACTGGTCCTAATTCCAGACTGGTTCTAATTCTTGTTTCACATTTTCTGCTCTAGGAGTCAGCTGGGAATGGAAGACAGAAAACCTCCACGGACTTTAAATCTTCGGGGCAAGGAGCCTTTAAGGACACGTAAGTTACTGGAAAGCGAAAGCAATAAAGCTGCTCGCTCATTGGCACAGCTAAGCAGGGTCTGGTATGGTTTCAAATTGGATGGGAGACCACGTTTCCAGATTCTTGCATTGCAGAGGGGGGGGTGGACTAGATGACCCGCTGTGTGCTTTCCCAACCCTACAATTCTATGACTGACAGCCCCACGAGTGAGAGAAAGCAACTCAGCAAACCCCCTCCTGCTACAGCGCCAGGACAAAAGGCTAAGGCCAGCTGCGCCTGCGCAGCGCGCTCTGCTGCGGCGGGCGAGGGACAGAAAATGAAACACTCCGCGAGCCCTCTCCTATGAGGGTTACGTCAGGGGGAGAGAACAGAGCAGTGATTGGCCCGCTCCCTTTAAAGAGGCCGGCACCGCCCTCACCCAATCCAGCGCCGCGTCCCGGCGCGCAGTAGCCGCAATCACGCCTTATTACACCTGCGCCAATCCAGGGGGCGGAAGAGAGTTTATGGCGCTTAAAACTCTATGGTTGAGAGGAACGGGGAGTGTGGGGAAGGTAAGGGGTGCGGGAGGCGCATGCGCGCGCCGCCGTCGGCCCACGCTCCTGATTGGTCCGCCCGGCTCCTCGCTCCCTCGAGCTATCTCGGTCTTCCTCTCCTCCGCCGCCGGCCGCCGCAGGGTCCGCTTATTAGAGATACAGCGAAGTGAGGGTCAAGAGGGGGGGGCGGGCCTTAACCCGGAAGTGGTGTTGCAGGGGGAGGGGGGAGGTGGTGAGGGGAAAAGAAGAGGACGAGGAGGGACCCGAGACGTGATGGCCGCCGCCGGCAGCTCCGTGTGAGAGCCCTCATTCGACCCCCCGGCCTCTCTTTCTCCCCGAAGTGGACCTGCCCGCCTCAGGGAAGCAGCCGCGGCCGAGCGGGAGCGGGGCGACTCTCCATCCCCTGACTGACAGGCAGACACTCAGACTTCCAGCTGTTCCCCTCCGGGCTTCGGCCTCCTCCTCCTGCTGCTGCCCTGCTCTGCTAGGCGTCCCCTCGAGGTCTCCGTCAGTGTAGGGGGAGCAGTTTGGAGGTCGCGAGCGTGTTGTTTGTGGCCTGGTTAGGTCTTCAGTGTGGAGAGGGAGGCGGAAGGGGGGCGTCCTAGTGAGCTCAGGTGTTCGGTGAGGCTCTCCTTTGAGGAGGGAGAGGCTGAGGGGTCTGCAGGAAGGGGGGGAAGATTTTCCCTTTTTGAGGTTGGGCCAAGTGGGCTTCAGCCGATTAAGGGGCGAGGCTCCTTAGAGACCCTATGGGACTCGATAGAAGGGAAGGTTTTCAGAGTAGGGCTAGGTAGATATTGGGAAGAACTGGAAAGGTCTTTTTTATTTGGAGGGTTCATGGTCTTCTGTTTGAAGGGGAATTGTGTTTTTTTAAAAGGGGGGGAGGACCGGTATTTTGGCAGAGCTCTGGGAGGGGCTTCTTCTACCCATTCAGTTCAGATAGATCTGTATAGCACAGGTCGGGAGAGCAAACCCTTGTGGTGCATTTTGGGCTCCTTCGCTGACAGGATTGTATTGGGGTCATGCGGGGTTTCCAAATCTGGGTTAGGTGACAGTTTTAATGTTGGGAGGTGAGGAGGGCCTGGTAGCGCATGAGGTGGAGGGCCTTACAGGGTGTAAAGATTGAACTTAAGCGGCTTCACGTTGCTGGAAGAAAGAAGCACTTTGTGAGGGCTTGGGTGGGAGGCAGTTTTCAAGGAGCTATAGAGAATGGTGTTGAATTTTGGGTGTCATCTTGGGTTTCCCTGCAGGTAGTTGGCTTGTTGGGTGTGGAATACTAGTAGTAGTCTAGTAATTAGACTGGTAGTTAATGAAACGGGTTGCAATTAGCCTGTGTTGCTTGGGGTGAGACAGTTCATCCCATATCCGCTGTGAATTTCCCTCCATCTCTCCTTGGTGCGGTTCTCCATCAAGCGCCTCTGATGCCAGAACAAGGCCCCAGAATGAACGGTTTCTCTCTGGGCGAGCTATGTTGGCTCTTCTGCTGCCCACCTTGCCCCAGCCGCATAGCTGCCAAGCTGGCTTTTCTGCCCCCAGAGCCCACGTACACTGTGATGCAACCAGAACAGCAGGAAGGTGGGGCTGCTGCAGTGGGGACGCCGACAGGTAGCTGCAGCCTGCACTTGACTGAGCGGGCGGACTGGCAGTATTCCCAGAGAGAGCTGGATGCCGTGGAAGTCTTCTTTTCACGCACAGCCCGGGATAACCGGCTGGGATGCATGTTTGTACGCTGTGCTCCTTCTAGCCGGTATACACTGCTGTTCTCCCATGGCAATGCTGTTGACCTGGGCCAGATGTGCAGCTTCTATATTGGTCTAGGCTCCCGCATCAACTGCAATGTTTTCTCGTATGATTACTCTGGTTATGGAGTGAGCACTGGTAAACCATCTGAAAAAAACCTTTATGCAGACATCGATGCAGCTTGGCAGGCCCTCAGAACAAGGTAAATGGCTGTTGGGTAAACATGCCCATGAAAATGGTGGAGGGTATTTCTGATTTCTTTGGGGCTGCTTGTTTGACCCTATACTTTTCCCTTGTTGTGGAATCACTGTAAACTGCCCTCTTTTGATCCGGTAAAGTTGACCACTCCACCCGTTTTTTGTGATGATGAGTTAGATGACCTCAGAATCATACAAACTCCTGTTCAAGGGAGTTTATGTTCCTTGAATGGCAGCCCCCCATGCTGTTTAGCAAATCTCTCCTGAAACTGAGAGGGTGTTCAAAAGCAACTTGTAGCATAGTATTGCGAGCTACAGTTGGAGTGGTGGGGAATGCTGGGGGTCTTAATTGAACCTAAAGTATCTTTACATCCTAGATTTTGGAAGGTGGTGGTATCCTTGACTTGCTGCTCTGATCATGGAGCAAGAAATGCTCAATGTAAAAACATGGTGTTAAGAAACATAAGGAAAGCCCGGCTGGATTTAAGCCCATCTAGTCCAGCACCTTGTCCTCATAGTGACCACCCAGATGTGCATGGAAATCCCACAAGCAGGCCTTAAGTGCGATAGCCACTTGTGATTTCTGGCAACTGCTATTCAAACGCATACTGCTTCCAGCAGCGGAGATAGAACATATGTATGTACTCATGACAGCTAAATGGTACAAGAGAACAGTAATGGTTAATTATTATACATCATAATTTCTTTGTATTCTTGGACAGTGCAGCAGGGTAAAATATGACATTTTAGAATGCTAGTAGCATTACCAAGTATTAAATGTACCAGTTGCATCATTGCATACTATGATGCATCTTCAGCACTGAGGTGAGTATGGGAGTACCAGAGCTGGTGTGCTGCACTCTTCAGAGTTCTTAATCTATTTAGTACATGATGAACTTATGCAAAGACCTTTCACCCACACAGTCTGTCTATTTTTAAAAGATCCAAAGTTCAGGTACATTTGATAACTACCTATAACAAGGAAGTTTCTATCAGTGTTTGTTTCTAGGGCTTTGTCTTTACTTTAGATTTAGTTCTTGGCAGGTAGTTGATGGTGTAGTTTTGAGTATTTGCTCCAACGACGCCAAGATGGATCTTGCCCTCAATGCAACTTGTTTGATTTGGAGCTAATGCTGAGTAGATACTGTATAGTTTTGAGCATAAATGTTGAAAGGCTGTGCTAGATTGGCTGCTGGCTTAGAAGACCAGTTACTTCTCAGTATGCTTCGGATTACCAGTTGCTGTAAAGTTCAGGGGTGGCAAGTGCTGTTGTGCTCAGGTCCTACTTGTGGACTTTCCATAGGCATCTGGTTGACCACTGTGAGAATATGATGCTGGAAAAGAAGGGCCGCTGGCTTGATCAAATAGCCTTTTCTTATATTCTTATGTGTCTTGCATGTTTCTTTGCAGTTTCTCAATACTTATACAGACTTTTCACTCGTAAATGGAAACCAGTTTAATGTCTTGTAATTTTGTTCTCTGTGAAAAAAGTGAAAAAGTTATTGACTTTGCTTTGTTTACTGTCCCAAGCATTTAAATCAGGTCGGGGGAACCTGTTGCACTCCAGATGTTGTTGGTCTCCAGCTTGCACCATCCTCAGCCAGTATGGCCAAGGGTCAGTGATGATGGGAGTTGTAAGCCCAAAACATCTGAAAGGCCAAAAGTTCCCCATCTCTGATTTAAACTCAGTTAAACTGGGAGGCTCTTGGACCCATCATTGCATGTGGAAACGCAGGTTGTATAAATGACTAAAAGTGTTCTTCTTCCCCATTCCTCCCTCCAAACAAACATACTTATCCTGATGAGACAACTGTGACCTTTCAGCTCAGAATGATTTGTTTTCACCTTTATGGGCTTGAGATTTGACTAGTGGGAGAGGTTGTCTTCAATTACATGCCATTTTGTCTTTAGCTTTCTTTAGGATTGACAACAAACTTATCTAACCCAGGAAGCATGTTCCCCATGAACAGAATAATCAGTTATGTAATTAACATAGGTTATGCATGTGTTTGATGTAATAAGAAACACTGATAATCCATTCAGTTTGAGAAGAGGCTAACTGAGCTAGGGAGGCTCTGCCTTAATTGAAAATGAATGTTCAGGGAGTAGTCAAGGAGGGATGGAATTTGAACAATATTAGAGGGCAGAAAGGAGCCCATAGGGAATTTGGGACTGGATTCACGAGGAAGGACATTTGGCCACTGAAACATCTCAAATCTGTGCAGTCTTGTCTTGAGTATTTGGCGGTGGGGTGTATTAAAACAATTGTGTGCCACATTTTTCCTATGAATGGCACGCAAGCTGACTACTAGCTAATGACAGAGGCTGCATTCACATTTTTAAAGAAAGCTATCTTGCTAATATGGCCCTTTTGTTTTTGTATGATTCTTTGGCATCTGATGAATGTACTGTTAGAAGCCGGTTTCTGAGATCTGGTAAATTTGTTTTTTTGTAAAGTTCTATGCCTAATTTCCTCTACTCATTCTTGGTACTTTATTTTAAGATTCCTGAGTAGGTTTGATGGACCCACGTACTGTTCATTGGCATCAAATCTTGATCTGGTGATTTAAAGTGGCCACACACCTTTCTGGCTTAAGCTGTCTAAAGGGACACCCTTGGTACTAGCCTGCCTGTGCTTTGAGATAGGCCTTGGGGGCTCTACTGGTCTGCCAGCCGGTGAGTTCTTGTTGGGGTAGATGGACATGAGAGAGATGGTATTATCAGCAGTAGCCCTACAGTTACGGAATTATCTCCCAGGTGGTGTATATAAGACACCTTATATGAAAGCCTTCAGGCAGGCACTAAGTTATTTCAGGTTGCATTTTCTAAATAAGTGCTGTGATCCTATTGATTTTTAGTGATGTTTAAATGGGCTTTAAAAGCAATGTTGTGTGACTGGTTTTATGACTTAGCTGGGTTGTGCTTTTTCCACGTTGTATATTTTTGTGATTTGTAATTGTATTTAGTCTTGTAGAAGCCAATTTCTGCGGACATTTATTCTAAAAAGCAGATTATAAATGTTGTAAATGCATAAATAGAATGTAAATGCTTTCCCACTGAAAGTTCCTTGTCTAGCAACCTTCACTTGTGCGGCATTAAAGGCTTAATTTAATTTAGGTCACGCTGCCTCGATTTGTTTCGAAGAATGGAATACTTGGATATATGAGTTTAAATAGTATGTTTTGATTGTGTGAGGAAATTCTTGATATGAAAAGTAATCTCATAACAAAATTGCCTGCTGTAATAGATTTTTGTTTGTAGGCTTATGGTGTGTTTCAATAATACCTCTTAATGACATTATGTGAACAAGTGAAGAGCATTTCAGCCTGACTTGGAGAAAATTAAATCCAGCTTTTGGCCAAGGTGTACAGTTAACTACAATCTACTTAGGATTTTTTACATTGCATTCTTGAATGCATTTGAATTCTTTGGGACTTTAACAATTGCCTCTTTCTTTCTACTGCAGACAATATAAAATGGCATCGTATTCATTATTTGAGATTGTGATCTTTAACGTCTTGACTAAACTCTGCATCTGGTTTTCAGTGAGTGGAAAATAATTTTGGTAGAAATATAAAAGTACCATAGGCTAGCTGTGTGTTATTGTGCATAAATGATGGCTAAATAGGTGCCTATCGCCTATTCTTTGTCTCCTCCCACCCCTCATAATAGAACAACAGCTTGCACTTAATTTTCTTCCATAGTTAGCATTTATATATAACACAGATTATGCATTTAATTGCTCAACTAAATTTCCAGAAATTCATTATGCGTGTAATCATTCCATTGAGATCTCCCAAGTTGAATAGTAATAAATAGAAGAGTGATAACCCCTTAAGACAGCTGGCCTATATTTTTGTTACAGTTAAAGCTGCAGTCCTATAACACTTACCTGGCAGTAAGTCCCACTGAATTCAGTGGCACTTCTTCTGTGAATACATCTACAAGATTACACTGAATATGTGGGTTTTAAAAAATTAAATGCACGTACTTACTTGGAGCTGTACCTAGTTCCCTATGACTAGTAACAATCTCTTGCAAGCAACCAAACAGGGAAACTTTTGCAAATCAGAGAACTGGTTCTTTCCCCCCTTTGTGGCATCAGTCTGTCATAAATCACTAATATAAGTGCAGGTGGGCTAGTAAACCTTTGTGGAATCTTTCAAGGCTGCTTGATATAAGTGCTAACAAAACTTATAAAGTTAAAAGTAAACCACCAGCCATTCACATTGTCAAGGCATTAAAACAGGTGTGGGGGACCCTTGTAGTCCTCAAGGTGACTGTTCATCCCAGTTCATTGGCGAGGCTTCCTAGGGCTGATGAACGCTGGAATCCAATAACATCTGGAGTGCCACAGTTTTCCAATTCCTGCATTAGAGGGAGGAAAAGCCTTAACTCTTCTTTTTAACGAACTGAGAAAGGACTTTAAAAACAAACTCAAAATTTCCTAATTAAGCATGATACCAACTGGTTGCTTAAACAACATATTAGCCAGGTCTAAATAGAGCATTTATTTAGGGCCATAAATAAGTCCTTTGGTCACGAAACTTAAAAATATTCTTTAGTGCAAGGGGAAAGATAGCAAGGCTACTAAGGAAGACGATTTGCTTAGAGTACAGTTTTAAATTCATTTATTTGGAAATGTCCCATTTCAGAATTTCTGCCAAGTAAACATTCATAGAATTCTATTGTAGGTATTCAGAACTTTCCAGTAGCAAAGTCTGGTGGTTAATGGACAGATCAGTGTTTTCCTATGAGATGGAAAGAAAATGATCACCATGTTGTCTGGTGATGAATATTTATGATTCTGCTTCTATGAAATGGAGTATAATATAGAGCTCAGGTAGTTCAAGGTATAAAATAAATGGAACCAGGACTCTTTGCAAGTCCTGACTAGTGGTTACACATGGTTGGGGTCAGTGTAGCTCTAACACTGCACCATGGTTAACTGTAAGCAGGGAAGAGACTGCAGCATGTTTCCCATTTCCTAACCATAGTTAAATGG